TGTTGTTAGGCGAAACTATTTTTGGTAAATGGCGAAAGTCGAAACTAAACCCGATGAAAGTTGAAACTGGTGAAACTCCAGTGAAACATCGAAACTCTGGTGAAACATTGAAACTCTGGCGAAACTTCCAGTAAAGCCAAAACCATTGGAGAAAGTTAAACACAGTGAGGATCAAATCCTCTAAGATTTTGGAAAGACTGTGCCATGTTGGTGAATTAAAATATTTTGTTTGTGGATATTCTTTGATGAAAGACGAAACTTCCAATAAAAGGTGAAACCCATAGTGAAAGGCGAAACTCCAGCGAAAGGCAATCTTCTGGTGAATCGTTTCTTATAGGTTACTCAGCATGCCATCTTAGAGGAATTTGTGTATCACTGTTCGCTTATTTTTATATTAATTTTTTATTATATAGATAGTTGTTTGTGCAAATGTACTTTTTTATAAAATATAATTGATTAATGCTTTAAAGTGATGTATGATATATTTAAGAATTTATTCAAATTGTATATAAAATTTTATCAATATCACTAACTATTACAATTGCAAAAACGATTATAATATATGAAGATCTAAAAAATCCGCTTATAAAGATGTTTAACATTTTCTCAAATGGTCATTTAGCTAGCAAAATGTTTGTGTAACCCACAATTTGTGTAACATTGTCTTGAAGGTCATTTTGCTAGCAAAAATTTTGTATAACAAAATCTATTTTTAGATGATCTTCAATGTGTGTAACAAAATTTTTGTTATGTTTGTTTACTCAAAATTAGGTGATTAGTCTCAGAGAGTCATTTTGCTAGCAAAACCCTATTTAATTCATTTAGATAAAATAAATCAAATAATAATAAAATTATTTATTTTTAATTTTTGTAATTGATTATACATTATAATACTTTCTTTTATCTTATATATATAAAAATAAAAAATGAATCATTTTTTATTACTTCTTTTATTAATTTTCTTATCTTTTATAAATTTATTATTTTATTTATTATTATTTTTTTTTTATTATATAATATCAAGAAAGAAAATAATAATACATGAATATACCAATTAGATATAATGTATAACTAAAGAATTATTCTTAAACTATACTATTGTTGCTATGTATATTTAACTACATCTATTGTGATATTATTCTCTTATTTTCTGTTATTAAGTTAAGTTAACTATTATTAATATTTAACTACAGAAGGGGTAGAGAACCCCTTAGGATTGTTGGTTTAATAAAAGCAAGTATGTATAGTAAAGTTTTGAGAGAGAAGTTTAATAATAAAAGAATCTATATTAGTATCCCAGGTAAAGGTAGTATTATTATAGTTTGTTGGTTTTGAAATAAGTAAGTAGATGTTGTTTTTCCTTTTTGTTAAAGCAGTAATTTCTTAAGCTGATTTCTACTCATGTTGTTTAATATTTTGTGTTTGTCAAATCATAGAATTAAATCATATGAGTAATGAGTTTGATACTGTGATAAAAAAGTTATTAGTTGATTTTTTTAGAATAGGTTGTAGTTGTTTGTAATGATCTAGGGTTAGTATACTCTGAATGAATAATAGTAGTAAGCTATTTGTATTGAGGTTTAAAGAGAAGTTATTTAGAATTTGCATTATTGTATGTAGTATCTTTTTGATAAGTTTAGAGAGTTTAAGGTATTTGTTATTTTGTTAATAAGAATAATGTCTAAATTGTATAAATAAAGAGAACATTTCAGTAAGTGTTTAGTATTTTTATATTGGTTACAAAATGAGCAGTTTGAAGTTAGATAGAGAGTAGGATAGTGAATATTTAAATTAGACATTGTTGGTAAGTTGTTGAGTAGTATTTTGTTCCTAAGTAAATATAAATTTAAATTGGAGTTTTGAGAGTTAATAATCTCAGTTAGTAGTTAGATGTTTATAGTAGAAAGGTTCCTTAATAGTTTAAGTTGGGGAAGTTTATTGAATGTTTGAATTGATAATAAGTTTTTACAAAAATTATATAATTTGTATATTATTGGAATTTGATTCCAAATAAAGAATAAAGGAAGGTGAAAGTAGTCTAGATTAAGTTCAAGCTTAGTTTTGTTGGCTCCATATTTAGCTAATGTATCAGCTATGTTATATAGTGTATTATTTGAATATGATTTGATTTTGTGTATAATGTAGTTGATGTTTTTGTGTTTAGTTAAGAAGTTTAGAATGTGGATAATATTCCAATTATTTCATTTGGTTTGTGAGTTGTGACTGTAGGGTATTGAGTATATAAGAGTTTGGATAGCAGATAAACTATTGAGATGAATATGAATTTGGTATTTAGAAGATAAAATGAGAAATAGGGAAATAAGAGCTGCAAGTTCTGCTCTTGTGGAGTTTGGTGCATAGGATATAGATGTATTAAATTTAATTTGTGTATCATTTTTAAATATCCAAATGATACCAGTATAAATATTATATGTTTGAGAGTTTATTATTAAGGCATCAGTATAGAAATGAAGGTTGTTTGGATTAATTTTTAGTATTTTTTTGTGCAGGTCTATAAGTTGATTTTGGTATGTTGAATTAAGTATTGTATTTTGGATTAGAAAAATTTTCAAGAAGGGTAGTGAGAGTGTAAAAAGAGTTTGTAGAGCTGGTTTGTATAATTTTGCATGTATGTTTTGAAGTGCTTGGATTTCTTGGATATTGATATTAAGTTTGAAATAGTGTTTTCTTTTTTGTATTTTGTATTCGAGATTGAAAGTTTGTTTGTAATTTAGTTGAAAATTTGTAGATGTTGAAGAAATATAAATTGTGTTATGTGTTGTTGTAGTAATTTGATATTTTTGAAAAATTATTTGGAAATTAAGTATGTTTATTATTTTGCCAATATGCCAGTTTTCAGATAAGATATAAAGTGTCTATATGTTTTTGGACTATTGTATTGAGGTGTAATTAGATTTTTTTTTTTATATATATATAATATCAAGTAGAAAAAATAGTAATATATGGATATATCAATTGAATATAAATGTATAAATAAAATATTTCTAAACTACACTATTGTTGCTATATATATAATGACATCTAGCATGATATTAATCTTTAATTTTCTGTGTTAGTTAAATCTACTATTGTAATTATTAACTATAGAAGAAGGTAAAAGGAATCTTTAGATTATTTTAATTAGTAAAAGCAAGTATATATAGTAAAGTTTTGAGAAAGAGTTTTAAGAATAAATTGGTCTATATTGATATTGAATGTAAATATGTTGTTATTGGAGTTAGAAGGTTATATAATATGTAATCAGACATTGTTTTTTCTTTTAGTAAGAGTAGTAATTCCTCATGCTGATTCCCATTCATGTTTGGTATTATGAGTTTGCCAGATAGTAAGATTGAACCAGTTAAGTAGAGAGTTAGATAAAGAGATAAGAAAGTTGTTAATTAGTTTTTTTAGAATTTGTTGAAGTTGTTTATATTGGTCAAGTGTTATTGTGCCTTGAATAAATAAAAGTATTGTGTTATATATAGTAAAGTTTGAAGAAAGATTTTATAAATTAAAGATTTGAGTTTTAGTATATGGTGAAACTTCTGAGAAGTTTAAAGAGTTTAAGATATTTGTAGTTTTGTTAATAAGAATGTTTTGTGGATTGTAAGTATGAAGTGAGCATTGGAGTAAATGTTCAATGTTTTCATATTGATTACAATAGGAACAATTTGGAGTTAAGTAGAGTAGAGGATAGCGAATGTTTAAATTTGATATTGTTGACAGATTATTAAAAAGAATTTTATTTCTAATTAAATAAAGTTTCAAATTAGAATTTTGTGAGTTAATGATTTCAGTAAATAGTAGAATGTTTATAGTAGGAAGATTTCATAATGATTTAAGTTAAAGAAATTTGTTAAATGTTTTGAATAGAAAAGAGGTTTTTGCAGAATTTATGAAGTTTGAATGTAATTGGTATTTCTTTCAAGTAAAAAAAGTAGAGTTTGTAATGGTAATCCGAGCGAAAATAATACAACATTTTTCCAAATAATTATCCCACGAATCCTGAAATTTTAATTTCGATAATAAACTATATGTGCTATATAATAATGTAATAACCCGTTGTGATTTCAATAATACTTGTAAGTATAAAAACGATTTAATTAATTTAGAATCTCCTAATTAAATCAATATTATAATTGTTGTGTACATATAATAAAATCGACCCCAAAATAAAGTTTTATATATAAATTCCGAATCTGTTTAAAATCGGTTTTCTTACAACATACGTATAATATCCATATACTATTTTTGCTAATAATCATATTATTTTTTTAAAAATATTAAAGGTGATAGTAATCATATTATTATATACCATAAATACTGATTTATTTAATATACTAACCTATTACATGTTTACTAAATACAATACTGACACTCTTCACGTCTTCCGTTCCTGGTTTTGCATGACAACGTTGCGCAGCTATCTTATTAAGTATTATAAATGTTTTTGTTATCTGATTTGTTGTTAGAGCATTATATCTTTGAAAATTGATTTTTCAGATAAAAAATTATTCAAATTTTATTAAGCTAAGATATAATAAAAATTGACAACACTTAAATAAGAAAATTTTAAAATTAGTCAGAAAATACCAAAAGGTGGTTTTCTTAGTAAATGACCCATTTAGTTTTGCCACTGTCGTTATTCCGAGCTTTAACGTATGATTTTCATACAAATATGAAAATTGACATGATTTTCAAAATTACATTTTTGATGCAGTTTTATAAGTCAACTAATAATTTTAATCAAAAACATAACTATTGATACGTACGCTCTGGACAATGATGATTTTCATAACAGATTTTTCTCGCTTTATAATGTCAAATTATCGAAATGCAGTACATCCGGAAGAAATTGTTAGTTTATCAGATGAAACTACCCAAATAATTGACAACATTAACATTAACAATATTAACAATATTAATTTAAAAGATAATAATACTTTCAGTGAAATCGTTAAATAATTATATGATAGTTACAACGAAAAAAGTTTAACATGCGACAATTTGAATTTAATTATGGATTCATTGAATCAAATTTAATAAATAGAAAACAAAATCCTGACAATATTATCAGATGGTGCTTGAACAATCAAAACAATTCTATAGCACAAAGTGTTCTTGCAAGGTGTTATCGTTTTGGTAAATGGGTAAAAATAAATGAGCATAAGGCATTTATTCATTACCAACAGTCTGCCGATATGGAATGTATTGAAGGAATACTTGGTGTTGGTGTTTGTTATAGAGAAGGAATCGGTGTTAATAAGGATAAAAATAAAGAATTTATTCATTATCGGAAAACCGCTGATATGGTCATTTTATTGGAATATATAATGTAGGATATTGTTATGATAATGGAATTGGAGTTGAAAGAGATTATGATAAAGCATTTATCCATTATCAAAAATCTGCTAACATGGGTTATGTTCTTGGGATATATAATATTGGATATTGCTATTATAATGGAGTTGGAGTTGAAATGGATAAACATAAGGCATTTTATCCATTTTCAAAAATCTGCTGACATGGTTTATGTTAATGGAATATATGATGTTGGATATTATTATAGCAATGGATTTGTGTTAAAAGAGATAAATATAAGCCATTTATTTATTTTCAAAAATGTCTAATATGGGTGATGCTGACGCAATACAAGCTGTCGGTCGTTATTACCTTAATGGAATTGAAGTTAAACAAGATGAATATACGGCATTTATTTATTATAAAAAAATTGGCCGAAATGTAACAAACTTGCTTATCTTATAAATTTGTAATTTTGTTACTAGTTAATTTTATTCATAAAAAATAAAGGAAACTGATATTCTCACACCTCATTTAGGTTTAAATATTTTACATAATTGTATAATAAAATTAAACCGCCGAGTTTACAGAATCTTCCTAGCGTAACCAATCAAATGTCAGGATTAGATAGAAATCTTTCGGATTTAATTATATCGTTATTGCAATTATTACAAAATCTTGGAGCATTTTATACTTTATAATAACAAAATGCAGCTTGATTTTGGTTGCGTAAGATTATTATTAAAGTGCTAATATTAAGTAATAAATACTTTTTTAGCTCAAGTTAATGTTAATCATTAAAATGCTAAAATAGTTAATTTTATTAGGGTGCGGCAACATTAAAATAGGGTTGGAAATATCAGTTTCCAAAATAAATATTAAAATTCTATTACATACTACTGTTGATAAAATTTTAAATCTGATAAAAATTAATCTACCAAGCATAAACTATCAAGTACATCTCTGCTATATGAATTTAATAATTTGTAATGTTCTCAAATCGAATAACCTCTCAATAATGATATAAATTTTGCTCACCTCGATTTTTGCGATGTTTAGCAGTTGTTTATAGCATTTCAAATTTAAAAACCTTTCAATACTTGTCCACAATGAATACCGATTTTGGGAGATTCAACAGTAATATATATGCAAGATTCAATATATCTAGACATTTTAAATGTACGTTAAAAAATCAATTGGAATTTTGGTTAAAAAAAAATTTTTTGAGCAGTCTAAATAAAATGATTTGATAACAGAAATATTACCTATCTTCGCTCATAGTCCACGAAATCTTGTGGTAGCAAATGTTTCTCTTGGTTCATACATAAAGTATGAGAATAGTGATGAATGATCATTCATTCGTTCAAATTATACAGGTAATGGCGAATAGAGATTATTCGACGGATTTGGTGCAATCCTTCAATCCGGTTACCTAATGAACGATTTTCATGTTTTTGTTACACCAAAATACAAATAAACATGTTTTCAAAATTACATTTTTATACGAAATTATAATTTAACCAATAATTTTAATCAAAAACGTAACTATTGATGCTTCAAAAATTAACTTTCGTATCACCTTGGCTAAGCAATAAATGTATCTCCACTACGATCCAGACAACAATGCTTTTCATATCAGATTTCTTGGTTTAATATGTCAAATTATCTAACTGCAGAATATCCAGAGAAGATTGTTAGTTTATTAAATGAAACTGACCAAATGATTGCCGGTATTGACCAATTAAATCTAAAAGATAATGACTCTCTAAATGAAATTGTTAAAGAATTATATGATAGTTACAATGAACAAAATCTAACATGCAGTAATTTGAACTTAATCATGGACTCACTAGATCAAATTCTAGCAAATAGAAAACAGAATCCCGATAAGATTATCAAATGGTGCTTGAATAATCAAAACAATCCTATGGCTAACATTGTTCTTGCAAGGTGTTATCGTTTTGGTAAATGGATAGAAAAAAATGAGTATAAGGCATTTATTCATTATCAGAAGTCTGCTGACATGGGATGTATTGAAGGAATACTTGGTGTTGGTGTCTGTTATAGAGAAGGAATGGGTGTTAATAAGGATGCAAATAAGGAATTTATTCATTATCAAAAAGCCGCTGATATGGGTCATTTTATTGGAAAATTTAATGTTGGATGTTGCTATGGTATCGGAGATGGTGTTGAAAAGGATAAGCATAAGGCATTTATTTATTATCAAAAATCTGCTAACATGGGTTTTGTTCTTGGAATATATGCTGTTGGAAATTGTTATTATGATGGATTTGGTGTTAAAATGGATAAACATAAAGCGTTTATTTGTTATCAAAAATGTGCTAATATGAATGATGCTGACGCAATAGAAGCTGTTGGTCATTGTTATCTTAACGGAATTGGAGTTAAACAAGATGAATATAAGGCTTTTATTTATTATAAAAAATTGGCTGAAATGTGACAATGGCTTGTTTTGTAATTATAGCTAATATATATTTTGTAATTATTTATAGTTTATGATAATAGTTAATTTTGATATAAAAAATAAAAGATTTATATTTGTGATTATAGTTAATTTTGATATAAAAAATAAGATTTATATTCTGTTATTATAGTTAATTTTGATATTGACGTGGGTAGATACAGCGAGTCAGTCGCTTGACTGAAAATCTTCGCATAACGTTATTAATCAAGTGGATTTCCTTTATTCAAGACGTGTGATTTGATTTGGTGGGTAAGGTATTTATTATTATTTTATATATATATATATTATTTTATTTATTGAAGTTTTATTGTTTTTAGGGACTTTTTGAATCTTTCGGCTTACTGTTATTTTTTTTAGATGTTATAAAAATAATTTTTTTATTAATTTTATTGTCTTTTTATATTTACATTTATACTATTATATATCTCAATTACAGGTTCAATCTACAGATGATTTCACTGTTATTTTTTACTTTCACATTCTTATAATAAGGTTTTACTTTCAGTTTATTATTTTTGTTATTATTTATGTTTTATCATTTTATTAGTATTTTTCATTTGAAGTAATGGAAAGAAAGAAGAATATTCTCAATATCCAAAAAACCTATATTTGATGGCAACCTTACTAATACTAACCTATTAGTCTTCTTGAATACATTAAAAAACTTTATACAAAACTCTTTACTAATAGACTTAATAGTATCTTTACCCAACATCCTATCCTATCTCTATACAATTATATTGTCCTTCCTGGTAATAGTACATCAATTCCAATCCATATCTTAAACAATACTATAGAAGATATTTTTTGCAACTCTAAACAATTCTGGCTACTATCATAAGACATGAATAAGGCTTATGATTCTGTTAACTCTAATCTTTTTGAAAAATCTCTATTATGACTATAAATGTCCCAATACCTTATTAAAATTCTAACTGATCTTCTTATTGATCATCATAATCATGTTATAATTAACCTGAAACTTACAAACTCTTATACAATTAAAAATACTATTGATCAAGAAGAGACAATTACATTATTCTTTTAGAAAATTTACTATGACCCTCTTATTAGTAAAATTATCAACTATTTTCATGAATATACCTTACATATCTTATAGAAAACTAATCTCTCTTCATCCTAATTACAAAACTTACAAATCTCTATATCTGTACTGATATAGATTGATGATATCCTCTGGATAGCACAGTCTAAAAATGAACTTGAATCAATTACCAAAATAACATCATCCTTCTATCACATGGCAGATATACAAATTAATTTTACCAAATCTATCCTGGTTTCTAATATATCATCTACTGTTGAACTTTCCTTCTTTAATTCATTAATTAAAACTATTCCAGCTAACTAATCATTCAAATTCTTGGACTACTGGTTCACATTTAATAGATCTATATTCAAACAAGATCAACTAATTTAAATTAAAACAACCTAACTAATCAATATTATCAGTTCTAAAAAAATTACTGAAAAACAAATAGCATATATCATTAATACAGTAATCATATCGACTATTGAATATAGACTACACAATACTATCCTCTCATACTCTATATGCAATAGCATATTAGCCAAATACCTTATTATAGCTAAATATAAATCTAACTTATCCAGATCCTTTCAAAATAGCTCTATGCTCAATTTATATTTATATAATATCTGTAATATTTGGAATATCCAACTGCAACATCATATTACTAATTTTCAATAACAGATTAATGATTCTAATATTCTTGATATAATAACTAAAATTAGACTACAACAACTTCAAAATAATCTCTGATCTACTACTAATATTCTTCAACATAACTAATCTATTATTGATGGATACAACAAATTCATTCTTAATTTTAAAATTATTCAGTTATTTTAATATCTCAATATTACAATCTCTGCTTATCATAATATATTATGGCCAAATACTATACACAATGTATGCTAATCAATTGAACCTATACTTATATAACATCCAAAATACATTATCTTTAAAAAACAATTAAAAAAACTTAATATCTTTTATTTAGAACAACTATATATTGCTGATAACAATACATTACTTAAATAACAACATCTTTCACCAAGACTACATTAACTAATAAAAGAAAAACAACTATTATGATTTATTTTTCTTGAAAACAAAAACATATTAGATAAATATTACAAAACTATTTTATCTTATTTTCAATTATCTGGTACTAATTCTTTTATATATAATACATATCCTATTACCAAAAAACAAAAACTTTGGCTTCTTACTTATCATTCTAATAATGAAGAAATTATTATTGACAAAATCTGCAAATATATTCCTATCTCTAATTTATTCTCAATTACATATTAGAAATCTAATATTAATTTAGATTATGATCAATATTACTCACTCCCACTTATCGAATGCAAATTATGTACAGAATGCTATCTTAATTCAAATAGAATTAACCAAATATGTATTATTAACATATTAGCAATTATTTTTGTAATATTTCTAGTTAAAAAAATCTCCAAAAATCTTAAACTCAATACCAATTATATTGATCTTATATACTCAACAACTATTAAACATCCTTTATACATACCTTCTATATCTCCCAATATCATCATACACAACTCTAGTATTTTAGAAATCTTTAAACCAAACAGCTGCATTCATGAGTTTCAAGACATTTATCTATCTAATTCTACAAATAATAATTTTACTTTTTATACTGATGGTTCTGTTATTAATATTGGATCAGAACAATGTTTTATGAATATTAGATGGGTTCAAATTAATGAACAAAATCAAATTATTTATAAATTTTCAGCTCAAGTTTGTTTATAGCTATCATTCTATAAAGCTGAATTAGTTATAATTATATCTATAATATCTACTACACTTTGCAATTCATCTATTAGCATATACACAGACTCACAATCTATTATTTCAAAATTTTATACATTATCAAACCAATTACAAAACTCTAACAAGTTATTTAAATTTAGTACATGGCCCTTATAATATACCTTACTTAATATTATAAAATCTTTTAACTTTCAAATTACCTTTTATAAAGTTCAAGCCTATACTAATAATCATTTTAACAACCTCACAGATTCTCTAGCAAAATAACATATACTTTTTCAACCTCTCATCTTTAATTATACTAATATTTATAATCTTTATTATATTCTTCAATAGGAACAAAACTTCATCAAACTACCAACTAGATATTTTATCAAAAATATATACAAAGCATATATAATAGAATATGGTCTTTATAAAAAAGAAACAGTAAATAGTCTTATCTAAACCACCTTATAGACTGGATCTCTTCTTGGTTTTATCTTAATCATAACCAAAAACCTACATTTTTTTATATCAGTTTTAAACTTAATCAACTCAAAACTTTTAAATCTAAATTCTTACTAAATGAACTACCTACTTAATTCTTTCTTCATAACAGATATCCTCATATTTTTACTAATACTAATTGCTTCAAATGCAATCTTCCTAACTCATCTACACATTGATATATATGCTCTAATATATATAATACTCTCCTTAATATTATTCATATATCTGTTAATCAAATACTTTTCAAGACTGAACTGGACTTATTATCTTCCTAACTTCAAGAACTAGTTTCTAATATATATCATCATCTATGCTTTGATCACATGCCATTTCAACACAATTTACATTATATAAACATTATACTTAAAGGACTTATATCTAAATCACTTATTAAAGTTATTTGCAACTTTAATATACCTTCATAATTAACTTTACAAATAGTAATTCAAATATTTCTATACATTAACAAACAAATCTATGAACTAAATTGGAAACCATACTGCATTGAATT